ATGGTTTAGTCAGTTTGTTCCTCTGTGTCTGTGTGCACATGTGTCTGGGTAAGTGTATAGATTTTTTTTGTTTATTTGTGCTGGAGAGATGGTGGAAGCTACTTAAACTGTATATTAAACACTCGGTCCTTGGAAAGGATGCAACACCTAGGGCAGGGACATGACTAACCATAAGCAGACATTACACTAATGAGGCAACATAGAATAGGTTTGAAATCTTTACCACACAATAATTATAAAATATTTTTTCTGGCACCTGTTGCAATGATCTTAACAAACAACGCTTGATTGAACTGTTCTGCTCCCAGAGAACATGACAAGTTTTCACCTTTATCTTTCAGTTGGGGAAACTCAGAAACAATGAGATTCAGGGTTAACTCTGTGTACTAGGACTGCTATAATACTTTCAAATCAAGTGGAAGAAGTCTTGTGACAAAAGAAATGTTGGTAATTGGATATCAAACAGATAGCAAGTTTTCCAGTCTTACCATAATTGCCAAGACAACAGAAAAGATACACCTTGCCTAAGGAAGTAAGCCTGCCCAGCACGGCTTATCCACTGAAAAATGCCACCCGCTTCAGTCCAGTGTTACTACATTCACACACGACACTGCTTACTATCCTGGGTACTGAGCTGGGCTATGCTGAAATGCTGGTCCTTAGCAGCACACAGAATGTACGCTGTTGTTCGAAACATTCATCCACAACCCGCAGTGATGTGGAGTTCAACTGTACAAGTTCTCTATCAGTTCACTCAAAACCCTAAGCTGTATGTCATAGTGATGCCATATCACTCCTTCACCAGAAGGGCTTATCCAAGCAGCCGGTGGTATTCTTGAGAGGGTATTTTTAGTAGAAGGCCTACTCAAATACAATGTCTTGAGTATAGAGTTATCAGAGGTGAAATAATCATTGAGTTAGCGGCAGTGGTTTAATGGGCAGAAAAAGGGAGAAGGTATGTGTGACTGTGGCCAATCCTGGTTGAATCTGACGACAGTACTTGGGTAGTACTGAAGGACAAACCATAGCAGGGGCGAGCTCTGTTCTGAAGGGTGGAAAGTCAGAGATGTGATTTGTTTCCTCAGCTGGGCCTGCCGATTAAAGCTTAATACATTTCCAAACCTAGGTTATAAAGACTTTTTTTGGTGGCTAGGAAGGCTTAGAGAGAAAATATCTAGGACAGAGCTGGGCCAACTTTACAGAAGTGAAAGAAAATGACAATGACAAGCTGGATTGGTCAGATGGGGAAAAAGTATATGTATCTCCTGAACTATCTTGAGGATCATTACCATCAGTCTTAGCCTATTAAGGCTCAGATAGTCACCATTACTCTTACCACTGTCTACAAACAGATTCAATTTACTGTATAGATAATGAAATGGTGACATTCCAAAGAAACGTATAATTAACACCCAGGGTAGTGGCTGTCCTGAGTATCAGAACAGGTGACCACAAAATACAGTGCAATTCTTTGAGTATGATTCTGTTGCCATGTAAACACATTAGCCTCAGTTGCAGGGGAGAGAATTATGTTTGAGGGAAAAAAGAGATTCCTTTTCACCAAATTCAGTTTGGAGTAAAGTGCTCTTAGCTGTTGCTTATTTGCTGCAGCACACTTTTTACAAAATAAAGCAACTTTTAACAATGTTTCTATTTTGACCTGAACCTCCATGGTACAAGAGGGCTCTTCTCTATATGGACCCTACCATTTGTCTTTTATATTGTTGATGTCAGATAGGAGATTACACAGTGTTGGCTCATCAGAACTCAATCAGAAGGAATTTTTATTATTTTTATTACTCTAAGAAAGTCTTTTATAAAAGTATTTCTATATCCAGAAGTCGTAAATACAGATCTATACTTCTGATTTCCTTTTAAATCAGTCTTTCTCCCATGGGAGTTAGGATTTATTCTCTAGCTGGGTCTATGAGTTAATAGCCAAGTTTGCTTCCCCTCCCCCCTCCCCTCTTCTGAAGAAACATGTTTGTAGGTTTGGTTTCAAGGTTTTGATGAACGTGTAGCTTAATGAAGTCAATGGTGATTTCTCCTGGTGATTTCAATCATGCTGTAATTCTAGTCAGTCCCACTCCTACACTTCCCAGTTCTGACACCACATTTGACACTATTCCTGGCTACACTAGACAGTGGGGTATCAGCCTCTTTTATTGTTCTGACTTCAGACTTGCTGCTTCAGTCTTCAACACTCTTGCAGCCTTCACTTTCACAGGAGTCTAGGAACCAAGTGCCAAAAATGTAGACACTTCCAGTGTATTTCATGAAAGAATATACACATATCCAACACAGCATTGTATTTTAAACTGTATGAAATGCATTTGTAGGTGGTCAACCATGCAATGTAGCACATGTAGAAATAGGTGCAATACCAATGCTCCTAACAAGTATCTGAACTTTTTTCCCCCTGCAAAACACCTATGTGGTCAAATTTAATATACACAGAAAAGAAATTTCAAACAATAAATCACAGAATGGTTTGGGTTGGAAGGGACCTTAAAGATCATTTAGTTCCAACTCCCCTGCCACGGGCAGGAACACCCTCCACTAGACCACGTTGTCAAAGCCTCCGCCTGGTAGAGCTATTATCAGCTGATGTTGAAGTTCTGGATCAAAGCCCTCTCTTGGCCACTTCCAGACACTTTCCCTATTTCTCTTTTTTCCCCTCTATGATAATCTGATTGCCAGATCACTAGTTGAAGATAACCTCACAGTGTTAGTGTTGTCAGTTTTGGTGCGTCTCATTCCAAGTTCCGGCTAAACTCAGAGGCAGGCTGGGAAAACAAACTCTCCCCCTATGGAGCTGGTAAGCTATTTATCATCTGCCTTTTCCAGCTGCAGATCTGCTAGCACAAGCCTGAGCACATTTGATTTCTAGTAGGGGTCACATATGTGACCTGCCACTATCAGCCCATGAAGTCTGCAGGATAACAGGCAATGTAGCCAACTGAAAAGCCAACCTGCAGCAGACAGCTCAAATCCTCACAGTAGCCCTTGGCTATTAAATGTATTTCTGGTGAATACATTTTCCCTTGCGGTAAACAAGTTTTCATTAGACCCATTAGGTAGTACACAAGCACGTCCAAGTAATACAGAAAACAGACACCACAAGAGTGCTTTAATTATAACTTCAGAAAAAGAATAAAAATCCTGTTGTTACAAAAGGAATGTAATACTAGAGCACTGGGAGTGTAGATAGTTTGTTCACTTCGTACTTGTACACAGAACAATGCAGGAACTTTACCAAGCACAAACCTGATACGTGCCAAGCTTTGTTCTTTAGAGTTGAATTAAGGATGTTTTCACAGTCCAAGTTTCCAGTTCAGCTCATTATTAACAACTTTCCATCTTTTTGTTCATACTTTTGAGGATGGCATTTCTATGTTTTTCTTGCTCCCCTCTTAGATGACAGATTTCCATCTGCAGTCACATGGTAACACAGGGTGTAGCTCACAAGCAAAGGGACCCTGCTTATGCTCCACTGCCACCGTGAGGGGTCTTGAGTCTCAATGAATGCAGCTTTGTTTACTCCAACAGTGATAAACTTAAATGTACAGTAAGAGATGGATGCAAATAGAGAAGCTGATACAGTGCTCATTCATTTGGGGGAAAAGCCAGTTATTAAAGCTAAGGATGAGAAGTGTTCTAGAAGTGGGTTCAATAGGCAGGTACTTGGGAGATAAACTGGTGCTCTGTGTGCTGGTATAGCTGCCTATGACAGGCATAAAACATGTTTTTGAGACTGGAGAGACAAAACCAGGCTGATCCACATAGTTCTTCAAATTAGTAATATACAATTCACAGCTCAGCAATGTGAACTTTAAGAACAATACCAAGTTCCTCCTAATTTCTGATTGGGTCCTTTTGCTATTTTAGCTCTGCAAGCTGTCTGTAATTCCTGATAGACCTACTGTAAGAAGAGGAAGAGTGATTCAGTCTCACAGTGTGGAATGTCAAGAGAGACTGGGAGTGGTCTGGCTCTGGTGGACTCATTTGAAAGGTACTTCAGATATGGAGAAGGTTCTGTGAAGAAAAGCTGTGCAGTTTGGATAGGAAAAAGGGATTGATGGAAGGGGCAATGGTAGGTGCAATCTAAAGCATATCATGCCGTAGGTGTTGAAGCACTTCTTTTGGATAACAAACAGAATGAGGCAAGGCAATTTTTCTTAGCTTTTACTGAAAAAAACCCCAAACTTGTAAAGGTATACAGCTGAAGGAGGCACAGTCACGTGGTAAAAAGTCTGTTCATCACATAAAGTGTACTGAGATTCTTTACAAAGAGTTGGGAGAGAACAAGAGAAGGAGAAAGACTGTCCTCGCCTTCTCAAACGTGGCAATCCTTTTTTTCACCTGACCCAGAGAATGAAAAAACCAAACTTCATTCATCCCACTGCTGCAGCCCCTGTGAGTGGGGGAGGCAGCACTGACCTAATGACATGCACAAGCAATTGAGACTGGCCACCCCCAAAACCCTGTAGGAGACAATCCTCAGTGCAGGGGAGGAGATAAAAAGGTAAAAACCCCATTGCTGGTGCCCAGCAGAGCTGTTAGCATGCCATGGAGTATCTGTGTTCCTAGGCCCTTTCCTTGCTCTCCAGAACATTCAAGAGAGAGGACACCTGCTATAAACACAACCACCTCCCTCACTTCTTCCCTCTCACAAGCTGTAGGTTCCCCCTCACTTTTGACTGAAACCCTTTGTTACTTGGCTCATCTCTGAACATGACACAGTGTGTTTGATTCCTGGCTCTCCTTTGGGCACTAGAGCCTCCTCTGGGCCTTTTCACTCCCAATTTTTGAAAAGGGACTCTGTCCCAGGAACTGGATCTCAGCAGTAGGAATAGTTGGAAAAGCTGCTGCCAGAAGATTGCTCTCTGTATTTGTGGACGCATGAATGCTGAATTAGCTCATGATCTTTAAAACTGACCTCAGTGGCAGCTTCCCAGGGAGGCTATCATTTCTAAAACATGAATTAACTTTCATTTTTATTCCTTTCCTTGACTGTGAAAACATTGCTGATTGTTTTCTGACACATAAGAAACTTTGAGGGAAATAGGGAGCTAGGAAATCCTGAAACTGGGGAATTATTTTAAAACCGTTGTTTTCCTGGATTCTTTCATGCAGATTTTTATCACTAGGTAACACAACTCAGCCAGATTCAACATCATGCAGATCCCAGACACAGCGAGCATGAAAATAGTAAACATGGTTTTCTCAGTGGGCCGAGACACAAAACAATCCACTGTGTTGGGGCAGGGCCATGCATTGCACTTCACCAGGCGAGGCATCTGGTACCCATCGTACATGTAATAGAATACGTACATGAAGACTGCTTCAAAGACGATCCTGAAGAAGATGCTGCTGGTGTACGTCCACCACAGGGGGCCCCGAATGTGAATCTTTTCATTTTTCAGCTCTTCAATATCAATTTTCTCACCATTTCTGAACCGCCGTTTCTTCTCGTGCCTGGTGTAAGCTACGTGCATGGCCACCAGCAACGCAGGGGTGGAAACAAAGATCAGCTGCAGGGCCCAGAGTCTGATGTGAGAGATGGGGAAAAAGTGATCATAGCAAACATTTCTGCACCCAGGCTGAAGTGTGTTGCAGACAAAATCTTGTTGCTCATCTCCCCAGACCCTCTCTGCAGCCACAACCAGGATCATGATCCGGAAGATGAACAGGACCGTGAGCCATATCTTCCCAATGCTGGTGGAGTGCTTGTTTACACCTCCTAAAACAGCCTGCAGACTTCCCCAGTCCATCTTGGTTTCTGTGTCCTTTTACCTGAAAGATAACATAATACACTAAATGGTCAATTCTCAAAGGGTGAAGAAGAATCACTCTAGACCTTCCACGAACGAGAGGGCTTCCTAGCACTCAAGAGTCATAGACAAATGCAAGTCACTTTCATTAATGTGACCCATATGTTTATGGATCCAAACAGCTTATTAAACTCTCTCCTTCCAGGTATTTATGACGGGACAAGCGTACCTTCATATATTTCTCAACAAGGCTTTGGGTAGGAAGTAAGTACATCTTCAAATACATTACCTCCATGTATTCTCTGTGCCCTCCTTCCCTTTCTTGGAAGATTTCCCTTTCTGCAGTTGACTCTTGTCAGTGTTTTGCCTCTCAGTGTATTTCCCAAAGCAATAAAAATTACTATCAGTGCATGAGTTACCGTCATATATCTAGACAAAGCAGAGACTTCTCTAGTAGTTTTCACAGGGTTTCTTTGCCAATGCCACAGCCCTAGAAGGCTGGGCTGGTGCTTTCTTTGCCTCTGAGCTAAGTACTACTTGGCCTTTTTCAGCAGAAGCCCTCACTCCTCCCAGACACCTCCAGCAGGCCTCAAGGCTTCTGCTGTAGCTCAGACATGCCCCTTTCTTGGCAGGCCCTTCATCTCAGAAGTACAGCGTTTGATTTTTGGCAACACTGCTGAGAAGCCTCAAGCTGGCTCTGTCAAGACTGCATGCACAAGCCATCAGGCAAAGGAAGATACCGCAGAGCCTGCCCTTCCACATTCATTGCTATCTCATCCAAAAAGGAGACAAGCAGAGCCATAGAGTTGGGAGGAAAAAGCCCTCAGCTAGAGTTTACATTGATTTTCTAGATGCTATCACACGTCAGCAGAATAAACAGGACACAGGACGTCAAACTTCAGGGAAGCTCCATTTCAGCTTTCCTCCTTTCTTCCTACTCTTGAAACTAAAATCCATGCTCTTTGCTCCTTTGAAAGTTAAAGGTAAGTTTTGCTGGTCAGAATTCAGTCTCAGGGCTCAGCTTTCCCTGATTGCAGCCAGTTGGAAACTATCACTGAATCGGACAAAGCACTTTGAAACCAGAGCTGGGAACTTGCCTAGCTGGTCCATCGTCTTTCAAGGCTAGGGCTCAACTTAGCAGTGTGGGAGAGCCACACTGGCCGCGGAGAACAGCTCCGTCTCCTCTTGGCACAGGCTGTGTGCCCTGGGGAGAGCAACACTGCACCAAAGTCTTCAAAATCTCTCATTCTCACATAACAGAGGAAAAAAAGAGAACTTTCCAATGCCGATCTAGGACAAACGTGCCCCAACACATACCCTTGGTGAAAGGGCCTAGCTTGTACAGACAAGCCTTGAGGCAAGAGGGAAAGGGCAGATTTACTGTGATGAGGAAAGGTGAAATTGGGTAAGACCCAAAAAAAGCTTTGAGAAGGTGGTTGAAATTCCTTAAACTTCTCATGTTTTGTCTCTGCTGAAACTGGCAGCATGTAATGCAACTTTTTACGTTGACCTAAACTCCAGGCTCGGGTCAGATACCAGCATCTTTCTCTTAAGAATTTCCTCATGTCTGTTGCATAGCCATTGAAATCAAGTCAACAAAACCTCCCCCAGGGTCTGGAAAGTATTTGAAGTGTATATCCTAGTGGGATGAACAGCCTGGGCTCCAACTGCGGGCTCACACTGGAGTTCTGAACGAGTGCCGCAAGTTTGTTGGGGAAACAATTTCTCCCTGCTCATCTGCCACTACAGAAACACTGAAATGGGCTGTGGGGACTGAGTGCATCTACCAGGATACTCACCTCGCCAACCGAGACACCATTTATTGGGGAAATCCGCCCTTTGTGGTTACAAGCCTTGAGGCCGCTCCCAGCCCGCGCCGAGCTTTGCTCCCGCTCAGCTCCAGCGCGGCGGCAGCGCCGGGGCG